GGGACATGCCTAACACTTTACTCAGAACATTCCCCTGGGGGCTCTCAGGGTCATCTCAAATGTTGAAAATAAAGAAAAACACAAACATAAACATGTACAGACTGGATTAAACATTGTGTCTTTGTGTTCTAAAGTGAGCTGCTAACAAGCTGCATTTATGTTTATTATACTTTTTTTGGTATGATGCATTATTGTAACATAATGTATACATTTTTATATACTACGTTTTCTATTTTATCATTTCTCCATGCTTACAGCAACTGTGACGTGTCCCAATTTAGAATCAATAAAATATTTCTGATTGTGATTATAACATTAGCATGTCTTGCTAACTAGCTTACTAGCTACAGTGGTAACGTAGTGCTACTGCAATGGCCAAGAGTTAACGTATAGTTAGCTATCGACATTGTTATGCAGGCTGTTCTCATGCACCATTCATACATTTTCCTATGAAAAGTAATGCACCAAAGTTCGTTCATATCCCATGTAATCATAAGCTAATTTTTCATGTATATCCTACATTTTTGGGAAGGTTGTGATCATGTAACCAATGCGCTGACGGAATTCAAGAAGTACACACTTCTGTAAAGAAGGAGGTTGGGGTGATGGATGGATCATAAAACTCAGGACTTTCACCAGGAGACAGGTGTTGAGACTGTGTGGACTTGGAACTTTGAGTCATTTTAAGGTATGTCGTTACCATGTTTCTTTACCTAAAACTGACCACAATAACATTATGGTAAGTATATAACCTCATTCATGTGGCCTTAATTCATAGTTTATCATAAAAAAAAACGATGTATGAGGACACTTTGTGTTATGTGCATTTAAAAAAGCTACATTTAGGAGCCGGTGTAGCACCAGGGTCAGATGCTAATATTTTAGAGATTGGGATAAACCTAGTGGCTATCTCCTGCTCTTTATTGGACTTATGGAAGTTTAGCTGTTTGGTAAACTCATCGGTTTATCTCATCCTCGAGGATTCATGTAAAATTTAAATATTGTTTAAAATAATATAACCAAGTAGTTCTATTCAAATACAATTACAATTCTGTACAATTCTGAGGTACTTGTGCTTTACCTGTGTAATATCATTACATGCTACTTTATACTTTTACTCAAGCACATTCTTGAGCAGAACATTTATTTTAAAGCTAGAGTTACTTTGTATTTTAAGATTTCACAGGTCAAACATCGGATCAATACACAATATATGATGCCTCTTTTATGGATTAATCTACCCAACAATATAGTGAGTGCTGTATCTGCTATATTAATAAAATGCTCTATACTTGTTTACCTATCAGTAATCATAATCCAATGATGTAACATATAATAATAATATACAGTAACAGTGAGGGACCATAAAGTATTGTATTGATAAGAGAGCTGAATACTTCTTCCACTGCTGTTTATATCTATAGTATAAATCTGAACCACGTTCTGTATGTTTTCCTATCATACTGCACTATATGACCGAATCTGCCATTGACAGTTGTCTTTATAGCCATTTCTAGTGGTAAGGGTGCCACTGTTAATGTTATGTAAACTGCGTATTTGCAGTGCAGGCTTAGCGACAGTAACTAAGGGGGCGGGGCTTAGCAAAGGATCGATTCAAATCCTGCTTGATGGAGGTGAAATTACCAGACAGAGAGTAACTGATAGTTACTCACTCACTGTATTGCCTTGAAAAGCAAAACTGTTGTTTGTTTAAATCTTCATGAGTAAATTTACATGTCAATGTTTCAGTTTCAGCTCTTCAATTCAGTCGTGTGACATCAGTGACACACCTCAGAACAGCTCTCTTTGGACAGAGCTCTCACTCGCTGCAGTTTGGGAAACAGTTTGTGTTTTTCTCTTCTGCATGCTTCATGTGAGTGATAGAGCTTCTCGAGTTAATTTGGGTCAGAGATTAATCTACAGCATCTGAATCAGGATTTCTCCTTTCTGGTACACTTTTCTTTGGAGCCCATCTCCACGATTCTAATTAAAGTTTTATCTCACTCTTACTGTTGAATGCATTATTCAGACTGTTAAATTTGTAAATGCGATCAGGGAGTGATTAGCGACACTGGCTCTTATCTTAAACAGAGTGAAGTGATGCTGTTGCTTCAGATGAATAAAGATGCACCTGGCAAAAAAGCAGCATGTGATTGCATGCAGATGTGACGTAAATCATTCAAACACGAGCAAACTGAACACTGGAGCAGGTCTAGCTCACTGAAGGTGAAGGGGCTTGTATCATTTTAGATTTGATCATTTAATCAGCTTTGCACAGTTAGACAGCAGCTACCATCTCCCATCTACCTCCTTCTACAGTGTGTTTTATCAGGTGGACTCTCTGTTCAGTCATATTTATGTTAAGTCTTCTAATAAATAATCACATGCTGATGAGTGGATATAAATGTTCAGACCATTTGATGCACAAGCTGTCTGCTGTGTCGAAAGTTTGCTGAGCCAAAACTTTTCAGTGCCACTTTCTAATAATACACATTAACAATACTGCTCTTAAAACCCATCTGTTTAAATGAGTTTACTCACTTTAACTGCAACAACTGCATCTTGTTTTAATTGACTTTATTAATTGCTGAACTAAGTTCTGTAGCTTACTGCATGTTTTAATGCTGATTTTATGTGATGTAAGGTGACTTAGAGAGCCATGAAAAGGATCATCAAATGACATATAACTATTTTTTAATAAACAGTTATGCAGGTTAAAAGCCAAGAAGTAACAGAGAAGTAAATTACAAGTTTCGTAATGATACAATAATATATAAAATATTAAAACAACAACAAAATATTTGCTGATATCACAAAATCTGCGCCAGTGTGACTTTAATTTCATTTAATTCTGGGGCCTGCGAACAATATGAAACAATATCAGTAAATATCCTCACTGTCTTTTCTTGGCTGCTTACCATCGTCGGCCTGGCACTAGGCCACTAGCACTGTTTAAATGTATAGGAAGGAGTTGTGCTTGGATGGAAATGGTCACACGTATGTGCCGTGGGAAATTTCAAGATAACGGCGTACCTTAAAGATAATGAAAAGTTTTGCTAATATTGGATCACTGATCACTGAATCAATATATCAGTCCAGATCGATGTATTGTTACTCCCCTATTAAAGGCCTAGTGTGTAGGATTTAAGGACATCTTCTGGCAGAAATTGTATATAATATTCATAAATATGTTTTCATGAGCTAATGAAAACCTGAAAATAAGAATCTTTGTGATTTTGTTACCTTAGAATGAGCCGTTTATATCTATATACAGAGCAGGTCCTCTTCCACAGATTCCACCATGTTGTTCTACAGTAGTCCAGAAAGGACAAATAAAACACTGGCTCCATATAGAGCCATTTGCATTTTTGAGTCAGCCACCGTAGTTCTCCTACAGGCTTGGCACATGAGAGTAGTTTCAGTTGGTTGCAATCTGCAACTTCACCACTAGATGTCACTAAATCCTACACACTAGACCTTTAAGTACAACGTTTTTGTTGCCAGGTTGTGAAAATCATTTTTGAACCATCCCTTTGCAAGCATAAAGGGTCACAGTTTTTTCACCATTGATATAATTAACCATGGTAGATGTTTATACATTTTATTAAATGGATAAGATGCAGATGGCCACTTCCAGAAGACTTCAAATGGTCCATTGGATGGATCTTCCTGACAACCTAAGGAGCTGAAAAGGATAAACACCAGCCACAGGGAGTTCTCACAACACTGTCAACCTAAAAACTGTTGTTAATGCTTTATAACTGATCTTTAATGCATTAGAAAATTATTAATTTACCATATATAAAGTCATTAGTTACAAATCCTTTTTAGAGTGTGGAAACAACTTCTCAAAAGATTTATGTTGAAAAGTGTAGTTACTCTCACGTTGTTGTCACTGACTGTCCAGGTGGTGCGAACTCAAAAATATTTGTACTTCAGTAAGGAAATCGGGGGGTATTGGCATAATCAAACGGACGGGTGTGACCTGACAAACCCACTCAAATCTTCTCAACATCAGAGGACAGACATGGTCTCCAGACTGTAATTTTTTCACCACACTTACACACAGGACGTAATAATGTATCATTTATTAAAGACATGACAGGTTTCAGCTATGACACAGCTGAGGGAGACACAGTTATCCGACTCCAGTGAAATATGTAAATAGGATTGTTTCTCATCCTGTGGAGCTCAATTAGGATTGTTGAGGAATTACTAGACAGCATGTAAAAAAACAAAAATCTTAATACTCGTCTGCTGAGGCGTCATTCAGGGCCATTTGGGAGAGATTAGCATCAAAGTTTTATTTTAGAAGTTTATCTGTCAGAGAGATTGTCTATCACTGTGTTTTCCAAATTTCCCTTTCAGCACTCATGCTCTTTCATGTAGATGTAGATTTGGGGATTTTGTCTATTCTTGTGTATACTCCAGGATTAACTTGTCAAAAAGTACATCTCAGAGGGCTCAGTTATGGTGTGTTTTCCACAGCACAGTGCCAGAGCGTCTCTGTCTGTCCTCTTTTGTCTGTCTGTGCACCTCACGCTGTGATGAAAGACTTTTTGTGTCTGTTATCTGACACTGCAGTGATTTATGAACAATAAAAGACACAGGGTGAAACTCAAAATAAAAGAGGGAAAACTCCAGTGAATAACTGCAACGATCACGCTGTCCTGCGATAGTATGGGATGAGTGATTGAGTTTAATACCGCACTATGGAATCATTACCACCCAGCGCAGATTATAGTGACGACGATGATGAACGCATCAAGATTGTATCAAATCAAATCAAATGGCAAAAGAGGGATTATGTGCAAATGTGTGTGTTCATCACAGACGTGTCTTTATCCATATGTGTGTCTGACTGTGAGTACACATTTTTATTACATAACCGATCTGCATGCATATGGGTCAGAGGCAGTTGATCAGCATAATGATGGTGACAGCATGAAAACACGAAGAGGATTTAAACTAGAGGAGGGAGAGAGGGAGGTGAAGTGTTGTTGTTATTGTGGTCTTTGCTGAGCTGTGTGTGTGTGACTGTGAGATGATAGCGTGTGAGGCTGCTTTACTGTATGTGTTGGTCAGATATAATTCGAAAATGTTTTTAACGATAAGGTGATAAAATTATAATGAGATTACAGTTACAAGAGCTGTATGATGTGTGGGCTTCTGGGTGTGAGTGTAAAGTGATGAAGTGAAAACACCTTATTTTGTCATTTAAGGTTTATTCGCTCTGTTTGCCAGTAAATCAACTAAACCAGAAATACAACCAGGAAGATAATGCCTTCTTCGATTTTCTTTATTTATTAGGGCCAGTTTGTTTCAACCCTGTGGAACAGGTAAGGATTATATATCCTGCTCAAGGACACTTGAGCATGTGAGGACTCGTAGCGAACTGATCCCGGCCTCCTCGGATGGACTGACTAACCACTCTTATTCTGCTGCCCACACACTTAAGTACATTAGGTGTAAATTAAAAGCAGATTCACACCACTCCAAAGCAAAAATGTGGTGAAGTATGGAGGCATGTAAATGTGCCACATGACAACTATGCACACCGCGTCCGGTGCCAGTTATTCATGTTGCTGTGCTCTGTTCTCATCAAGAGAAAAAAGTTTGCTCCTAAACAGTGCCTGTGTCCACTCCATACAGCAAAAACCTATTCAGACAGAGAATATAATCCCAAAAGCAAACACCCATGGCTCCGCAGTCCTGTTTCTCTGAAAAATATACTCTCCATGCAGTTACAAAGATTAATAGTCTGCAACTACACCAGTCAGTAATTCACCAACCTTATCACTCTGCTGCACTGAACATCAGACCTGTGGTCCGACAAACGATCACCCGTCCATGAAGAAATATGAGTGGCTTGTTCTTCCCTGGGGCTTAAGCCTTCACTACCAATGCACTAACACTGCTGCATGGAATAGTGCATAATGCTAACCAGGGAAGAGGGACTGTTTAATAAAGGTATGACAGACTAGCACCAAGCAGTCAGATGTCATTATTCTGCGTAATAGTAGCCATATGCTTCTGTTTGTTTGAGACCGTGCCTAACATATAATATGAGCACTGCATATCAGCTACATTAGCATCTTAATCGTGTCCTCGATGAAACAGAAATCAAACTGATAAGACATTCCCCATTTTGGCAGCAAACAAGCTTTAAAAGGTAAAAACCCATAACATCTTTATTTATAAATCTTCTGTGCAAATTTCATTTCATTTCATCCTCATTTTCTCATGGTGGGTGAAACTGAAGAAAAAACTTGGGGAGAATAATAAATCACAGTTTTCAAAAAATAATGATTATCCTTAAATGAGTACGAGCAGACTTAAAGCTGTTAGACACATAACTGTTTTGTTTTGGGCTCAACACTAAGTATGACAGCTGCACAATATGAGGACAATATGCGATATGCTATAACACTGTTGAATATCACAATACTGATATCAATTTGCATAATTAAACAGATATTAAAGTGTACAGCTCTTGACTTGGACTTGCACAATACCAGTGCTTGTGCAACGTCATCTCTGCCATAACCAGACAATTGACATGCTCTTTTTTAGACACCAGTTCATCACTGGTATGCACACTTTTGCCTGCACTCATCTTGTCATAGTAATGAACAGCAATAAGTAATACAGCAGCACTAGTGTTATAAACCTCACTTGCATGCATGCAGATTCTGACCAATCAGACAATGGCTAAAGGCGAGGGCTCTGTCAGATTGGCCAGAGAGTTACAGTATGGCACGTACCAGACAAAATAGCTCCCACAGACAGAATGTAATTTAATGTGTTGTTATTATATTCAAATTCCACGTTGCATTCTTTTGCGACGTGTTATTCACGCTAGGTGACAACGCAATGACAGTAAAATATATTGTGCAGCCCTACTGAGTATCCTTTATATTGTCATGCTGTGCTGTATGTCACCGTGTGTGTGTGTACTTGTGCCCCCGACTCACCGGTGATGACCAAAGTGTGTGTGACTCCCGCCTCGTTGAGCATTCTCTGAATGTGGTTGTTGTAGAGTGTGAGCGCGTGTCCTTTCCCGCTCTGTGGGTTCACCAGCAGCATCATCCGGCTTGGACGAGACAACTCGCTCATCAACACCCCTACAGAGGACAGACAAGACATGGTCACATCTCCACAACACTGCACCATATTTTTTAAATCAAAGCTGGGTTATTGTTTGACACCGCAACCTGTAAAGTCTTGTTTGTTTGTTTTTCAGACCACATGGAGTGGCGGCACAGTGAGCGGACAGACTATCCTCACAGTGTGAATCTAACAACAGCCTGATGTTCAGCTTTGGAAACCTTAACCTCAAACTGATATTTCCAGCCCTGTTTAAGAAATCTGTTTTTTTAAAGACAGACACAGACAACCAGGTTTTTTAAGTGCATTCGACTGAGTGTAGGTTGGGTAAGTAACCTAAGAGCCATAGCAAGGAACATTTCTACAATGGAGGGGAGCAGGAAGGACACATGGGGATGTGTACTGGGAGATCACACACAAATTGCACCCTTATCTCTCCTAACAGGCTTTGGCAACGCTACTGTAAAGTAAATTCTACAAAAGGACAGAACCACCACAGTGAAAGACTGAGCCAGGGAGGAAGCAGGAAACAGTGATGGCAAAATGTTTATACTGTTTGTATGTTCAGCATATATATAGTTTGTTACCTCTTGTGATAATGTGAATTAATGACTGTTGATAAAAATCTGTTGATAAAAACTGTTTCCATATTTAATGGGACTTCTAACATATAGAAGGTTCAAAAACTTCTGTGTTTTGTTTAATGTATTCAATTATGTGTCCCCTGATCCTCTGTGTTATTTTTTATTTTCAGTTTATCTTCTTTTTTTTTGCCAATTTTGCAGCACATTTGCCAGAATAAAATGTTGTCATTGTACGTTTATTTAAACCATGGATACATTACATTTGCACACCTCATCATTTATACCAATTAAACATTTTCACATCTAAAGTGGCGTCGTATATGACCTGACTCTGTCATCAGGAGGTGGAAGGGATGGTGGATGGTGTGACACCTTGGCGAGACTGCTGCCAAGCAGCAGCCCACTGTAAAAAACCAAAACACAACAAAACCAGATGTCTTTAATGGGGGTGGGGGAAAAATCGATACAGCATAGTATCGCGATATTTTGCATTGCAATGTTATATTAATACAAGAATGCCAAGTATAAATCTTTTATTATATACATTATTCATTTTTGCAAATACACATTTTAATACCACTTTCGGTATTGAAATAACAAAATAGCTTGCTTTTTCGGTCCACTAGATGGTGCTGATGTTTTTCCTGCTGAGGTCAGCAGAGGTCTCAGTCAGTGGCATCTGGCAGGAAGTTCATAAAAACAAAGATGGAGGCAGTGGAGAAAAATCAGAAATGCGCCATCAGCGTTTAAATCAAACATCTGGACTTATTTAGGACTTGGACATAACTTACGCGATCTGCAAGCAGTGTCATATGAGGATAATCTGGGAATACTACGAGCATGAGGGCTCACCTCACTCTCCACCATCCAGAGATAGCTTTAGCCGCTGACGGCCAAGCGAATACTAAACCCACTTGAAAAATCAACCAACACTGGACACACTTAGCTTGAAAAAAATACCATCCAACTCTGAGAGGGCTAAGTAAATAACACAGTCCATCACCGTCCCAATGTTTTTTCACCAACACAGCCGTTCCCAAGTGCTACAGAGAAGTGATGCATAAAGTTGAGGAATCTTTGAGTACAGCAGGAAGGGTGGTATAAACTCATGACGCCTGGACTTCAAGCTCAGTGGATTCATATGTGACTTTAACGGCACATTATCTCACAGAGGACTGGAGACTGCTGTCTCACATTCTCCAAACTAGAGCAGTATACCAAGTCACACCGGAGCAAGCATTGCAGACCTCCTGCAAAATGCAGCACAAGAATGTAACAGACGACGCTTTCAGTTAGCAGGATATCTGCATGTGAAGTGTTTGGCTCATGCATTTAATCTGGCCTTGCAGAGGGCGTCAAATCTGTCAGCTATTCAGCTTGTCAGGTGTATGCAGCATTTCTGACAGGTTTTATGATAATGCTGGTCAGTCTGTCTGCTTTGCATCACATTTTGCTGCAGTAAAAATGATTCAAGTCAGATGAACAGAGTGAAAACTTTGTCTTATGAGGTAAAATTGATGTTGACAAAGTTGTCCTTTGGGGAAATAAATAGCAGTTTGGAAAAAGGGTAATAAATTGCAATATATCACAATATATTGTATATTACAATATTGCCATAATATCATGTTGTGACCTAAGTATCATGAGACCTCTGGCGATTCCCACCGTCTTTAAGCGAGCCATTGCTGTGTTTCCTTCTTTTTAGGCACCAAATGTGGGCAATTTTTTAGGGACCCCTACTTCTTTTTCCAGCAGGAATAGCGACGTGAAAAGCAGCTGTTTTTTTCAGAGACATCACTGCTTTTCCAGTGAGGATTGTGCCACCAAAACCGGGTATTTTAAGCCAAAACATGATCTTTTCCTAACCATAACCGAGTGGTTTTGGTGCCTAAAACTGACATGTTAACTGACACGTTAAGCAAAGCTCTGCTGAAACATAAAGTTTCAATGCATCTGCAATAGTAATGTGTGAGTGCTACATATCTGTGGTTTGCAGAAACATACAATGCCAACATCTTTTCTGGTGATTGGGTTGTTATGTGACAGTCAGAGGGAGGAGGCAGGATATGACAGGCCATGGGCTGTCTTTAGTTAATCATATTCACTGTTGTAATAACCCAGGTGCAGTTTTGTCTCATCATTAGACAAACATAGACTTGACAGGAGATTTGCAGATACAAGCAAAAACAAAGGTCAGTTAGACACCATCCAACGCACACGCTACACACACAAAACTAATCCTACACTACTTGCATCCAAAGATGGAGGAGTACAAGAGTACAAAAGAAGCAGCCTCTTTGGTAAATCTTTTAACTGCAGGGTTGATGCAAATCAGTGTTAAAAGTATCATGGGGATCAAACAGATTTCAGAGGGCAACACTGATCTTACACACATCACAGATCCCAGATCTTTTTAAAACATTCTGAAGATTACAGTCTCTCAGAGGCACAGCATGGGGCTAAAGAAAGGAGGAACTGGAAGAAGCTGGTTTTGGCCTTTTCTCCCTCACTGCCTGAGAAGGATTAATTAAAAACTGCAAGCATAAGACTGTGCCTTGCCAAAATATAAGATCATTATTCAATATCTGAGAAGAGATGGGGAGAACTAAACAGAAATATAGATGTGATGGTAGTCAGAGTATGATGATAAAACTGCTCATGTTAAAGAGGAGCTGGTAGTTTGAGAGAGAGGTGATAAGGAGGATGAGGGAGTTGTATCTCAAATTTGAAGCAAACTACTTGACAATTTTCTCTCCTTTTCCCCCTCTCCCTTAAAATATGTTTTTGTGACATCTCAGCTGGGAGAGAATTCAAAGAAAAGGAGAGAGAAGTGTGACGGGAAGCCATCAGCCACATTTGACACGCTGCAGCTGTGGGATAACTTCACAGGTAGGTACAGAGAGTCCTCTCCATCGTAGCAACGGCACGCTCTAGTAAGACTGTTTTCTATGTCACGCCTTGTCAACACACACACACAAAACAAACCGTTTTCGGTGAAGCAGCCCAAGAGGCAGAAACCCTGCAGTGACATTCCTCTCACTTTGTTTTGCAGTCTGCTGGAATTTTTTTTTTTTTAAAGATCAAAACATTGTGAGCGTGGAGGGAGTCCAACCATCCAAACAAGTCTGACAGCTGATGAATGAGTAACAATGGGCGGGAGCAAGTGGAGTGCAGGAATTGGCACATCTAACTAGTTTCAAAAGCTAATCGGCAGGTTTCCTTTAAGCCTAATGTTCTTAACTTCCAGCGTAGAGACCAATGATCCCTGCATCTTGGAATGCAGGGAAACAGGTCACAAAAATGTCACCTCACCTTTTTGTTCACCTTTGTACCTGGAGTTTGACCTGAGTCAGTCATCAGTCTTCCATCAAGGCAGGAAGGTAGGCAGGTAATGCTATAAATACTTTTTTAAAGGCTAACATCTGTTATTTTTAACCTGGACACTATTTTCACATGTTTTTGTGTCTAAGTGACTGATGGGGACAACAATTCAGTAATTATAGTACTGAGCTAGACAAGTGGCAAAACAGGCTGCTATGTAACCACTTAGAGCATGTTCACACAGTCAGTTTAGGTTTACGAAGAGTACTTGGTTTTGCCACTGACAGGCTCTGCTTGTTATTATAAGTGTCTGACAACCTATAGAAAGGATCACTACAGATATAGGCCTTTTTTATTTGAGAGTGAGATCCTTTTTATTTAACCAGAAACAACCCCAAAATCACTATTGCCAAACCCACCAGACTCCATTGAAATAAACAGTAATTTTATCATCATAAAACACACTTAATTCAAAGTCAATAAAAAGAAAATAAAGCTCACAAAAGCCATCTTGGTTCATCTTTTCACTGCTCCAATAATCACTAACTCTGGTTTGGTTAATTCACCCAGTGAAAATGTGCTAGCTGTATACACACTTACATTACTGTTTATTTAAATGGAGTCTGGTGGGTTTGGCCATGGCTGTTTCTGGTTAAACGAAAAGGAGCTTACTCTTTAACAAAAAGGTCAACCTCTGCGGGGATACTTTCTATAATGTTATAAGACACTTATATTAATAATCTGAGACTGTCAGTGGCAAAAACAAGCACTTCTAGTGGACATAAATTGACGCTGCATAATTACCCTGAGAGGTTACACTGCTGCGTGTTTCAGTGCTGGGCCAGTTTCAAAAAATATTGTTCCCATTTGAAGCTTACACACAAAAATGTGAAAATAGGATCCAGGTTGAATAATACCTGAACTGAGCCTTTAACTGCAAATAACAAATTTACATTTCCTGTACGGTTTAGGGTTATGAAAGCGCAGCTGCTTTCTCTGTAGGATGACTATTTCTATGGAGTCATCTCCAAATCGTAACGACTGGACTCCCGAGGGAAAAGCCACAGAAGTGCCCTCATGAATCAGCTGGTATGACAGCTGGCACTGAAGGC